ATTAGTACAGCAGTAGTTACTTAATACAACACTACAGTACTATATCATTTTCCCTTTACATTTACTTTGTGCTATTCACACAATAAACAATAATGTAAAAACTATATTTTTGGTTAATGATAGTCAGATTTGGGAAAATACACACTCTTACAAGAGACACACACACAGATACTAGATGCCTTGGTAGAAGGCTACTTTTAGTAGGAAACATAGGGTTTTCTAGGAGAGTTCAAACAATTATAAAACTTTTACAAAACTTATACATTACAGACTTACAAACACTTTCATACAAATACAGACACTAATATACTTATGAACTCACCAGCTTAAAAGCTGATAAACTCTTTCAAAATAACTTGTATTCTCAGGTCGCCAGTAGACAGGTACCGGAGCCAGGTTTTTGAGAAGATGGAGCTCGTTCAAGGCTCATCTTTTATTTTGATGTATATTTTTGGTGTCTATAAAACTTGACAGAACACTCCTGTATTAAATTATATTATTAATGCAATGGATGATGTTGTTGCTTGTTTACTACTTTGCATTGTTGTGATACTGTACATGACGTCCTCCACCCCCGAACGTTTCCGCCGTTCCGGTTTTGGGGTGTGACAGATTTTGTCTAGGGATTTGTTTTGAGCATATCATGGTCCCTTACGTCATCCTTGTGAGTATGAGACACTCCAGGAGCTTAGAATCTTAGATCTTATCATTTCTGATGTTGTTAGTGCATAAAAATGTCATCTTGATGGGTTTTCATGAACCATGCAAGCGTTGGTGAAACGTCCCAAAAATAAGACCCAAAAATTTCATTTTTAAATTAATAAAACCAGTATCCCAAGAACATCATCATAGAAATCCATATAAAACAATTGTATCAATCATCATATCACATCAGAGTAAATTAAGAAAATGCGTGTAACATTAATCCGTTTAAAAGAAAATAAATAAAATAAATAATAAGCCCTAAGACCCCTAGATGTATTTTATATTTTATTTTATTTTAGCCCTAAATTTGTAATATTTTGTCAATGTTAGTTATAAGGAGTTAAATGATATAATTTTCAGAATTTAGGGTCTATATTGTAACATTGGGACTTGAATTGTAATGAATTTTGGAAGCTGGGGGATGTTTGGTAATTAGTGAGCCTACTTTGAAAAGGATTTGAAGGGGAGGGACTGGAAGTGTAAATATGGACTTATGTTTGAATTGAGACACAAGATTTGAACCCGATCCCATTCCCTTCCCATTTTAAGGCTGCAACACCCAAAGGAAACCCTAACCCTAAACATATCCTTCAGCCGCCACCCTTATACCCGTACCTCCGGCCGCTGCCACCCCCTAGCCACTGTTGAAGCCGGAGACCACCGAAGCCAACCCGCCGTTGCAACTGCCGACAAGCGATGAAGTGCGTCGCTTAGACGCCGAATCAATGGGTCGTCGGAACCGTGAGTCGTGGCCACCATTGTTCCCTCCAGTAACGGCGCAAACCGTTTTCCTCCACCCTCTTTGTTCTTTCTTCGTGTCTTCGCACTCGTTGCCGTCGCCGCTCTAGCAGTTGTATCATTCTGTTGTCGTCCTCCGGCCGCCGCACGCCACCAGGTGGGTGGTTGTGTTCGTATTTCTCAAGTGTGGGTGTGTGTGCTACTATTGCTAGTTTGTGCATGTTGTGTGCGTGTCTATTTGCTTGGCCGGACATCGAAAGAAAACCCACCACCATGAGATGGTGGCTATCATCTCCGATCACCGCCTGCCACCGCGAAAATGACAGTGGGTGTGTTTGTGTAGTGTCTTTTCATGTTTGTTAGGTGTGTGTGGGGGTTCTTTGGCCGGAAAACGTGGGAAACCACCATGGCAGCCAACCATGGTGGCTGTCACCTTGCTGCAGCCTTCTGCCGCCATCAGCCACCGTGTTAGGTGGCGATGTGCATGAACTCTTATGTGTATGGGTTTTTTATGCATTTCTTGATGTATTGAAACATTGTGGTCGGATTTTAACTCGAAAACGTGGTTGCCGCCGTGAACCACCATCGACCACCACCGCCCAAGGTGGCAGTGGGTGGTGCCCGACCTATTAAAGCTATAATTAACCTAAAAACCTAACCTTGGATCTATTTGGCATGTATTTGGGTCGGAAACCCTAATTAGGTTTTAGAAAACCCTAATCTTGGAAACTTTACTTTGGTACTTGTCGGGACCCGTGTTTAAGCTGTTAAATTAAACGGTAAATAATACTTAATAATGTCCCTATAATTAACTTAATGAAATATTGGAATTAATGGATTAAGTCATTAAGGGGTAAAGTGTGGAACACTAAACCTAGTTATCATTTTATGTGGAAACCCTAGAATTGGGAAGCTCTATTTTGCACAATGATCGGGCGCGTAATTGGGCTACTGATTCGATTATTATTACACCCGAGAATAACTAAGTCAAACATTAATCAGTCATACCCTTAAGTGATTAAGTCTTTAGTGGGTTGAGTGTTCTTACTTAACCCTAATCTTCATTTTATGTGAAACCCTAATCGTCATTTCTTGTGAGGTGGTCACTGTTGCAAGTGACTATAACCTGTGATCGGGTATTGAATCAAGTATCTTCACGTAGGTGATTGGAAGTGAGTTGAAGCTGGTAGAGTCCTTCATTGCTACAGTGGTTATTTATGCGTACATCGAGGTGTTTCGCCTCACTATAACCGTGGGTCGAAGGCACCAATGCCGGCCTACTAGTTTTGATTATATGTTAGTAGAGGGATGCACTAGGGACTGTATATAATCATGTAGGATAGACTGAGGACTCTCGATCTAAGATCTCTTACTTGTTCCTTGTTTGGTTGTAGTTCTAGAGTAGGATCACCTGTCCGGGTGACTATCTCACATCTGAGTATATTCGGCCACGCATTCCTTGGATTGTTGATATTTAGTTTGTTGTTATGCTATAGTGATCTGATATATCTGTGTTCTGGTGTCAAGTATGTTGTTATGTTGTAGTAATCTGGTAGAATTGTGTTCTGGTATCGAGTATGCTGCTATGTTGTAGTGATCTGTTAGATCTGTGTTCTGGAGTCGAGTATGATGTTATGCTATAGTAATCTGGTAGATTTGTGTTCTGGTATCGAGTATGCTGCTATGTTGTAGTGATCTGTTAGACCTGTGTTCTGGTATCGAGTATGCTGCTTGTTGTAATAACATGTAGAACTGTATGTGTTTTTATGATTACCAGGTACGACCCGATGTCGGGCGGGGCCCGAAGGCTAGTCTGTATGTTATTTACCTCTATGATTATGGAATGTGTTTGCATGTTATATAATTATATGTTATGTGTTTACGTTATCCGAGTGTGGGCGGGGCCTGTATCTCATTATTATTCGAGTGTGGGAGGGGCGCGTATCTCATTATTATTTGAGTGTGTGCAGGGCCCGTATCTCATTATTATCCGAGTGCGGGCAAGGCCTGAATCTCAATATTATCCGAGTGGGGGCGGGGCCCGTATCTCATTATTATCCGAGTGTGGGCGGAGCCCGTATCTCATTAGGCGGGGCCCGTTATTCGAGTGTGGTCGGGGCCTGTATCTCATTGGGCGGGGCCCGTTATTCGAGTGTGGGTGGGGCCCGTATCTAACTAGGCAGGGCCCGTTATTCGAGTGTGGTCGGGGCCTGTATCTCATTTGGGCAGGGCCCGTTATATCATATGTATGGTATGTGGTATTTTGGGGGAAACTCACTAAGCTTTATGCTTACCCAGTTGGTTATTGTTTCAGGTATCATCAGTGATTGCAGGAAGGAAAATGCGGGACTGTACACACTCATCAACAACTTGAAGATTCCGCGTTTCCTATAATACTCTGACATTAATAAATGTAATTTTAAATAAATGGTTTTCTTAAATAATGGATTAATAAATTGGGAATTTTACTTTAATAAAAATGAAAAATTTTGGTTGTGAAAATGGGACGTTACAAGTTGGTATCAGAGCCCTGGTTTGAGTGAATTGGAGGAACACTTTTGTGAATCCAGTCTCAAACTAGGATTCGACAGTTTTTAAAAAATATTTTTGAAAAAGAAATTATAATAAAGAGTTGGGTTAAGGGCATAGGCTCGGTCTCTTGTCATGTTCATGTTTGATTGTTGGCTTGGGATCGGGAACGTGGACATTGACTTAATTTTGATTTTTCAGGAAGATGCTGTGTGTACGGTCAGCCAGAGCCCGAATAGGATAGTGGTTCCCAAAATACCCATACTTCTTATGTTTGTTGAGTTTTGATCTTGTTGATACATGATTTGTTAGAAAAGTATGCTAGTGATAGGCTAGGGATCTTCAGGAATTGCATGATAGGATAGAATTGTCTGAAGGTGATTTTTATAAAAGAGCAAATTACACAAATGGCCCCTGTTGTTTTATGTAATTTGCTCTTTTATAAAAGAGCAAATTACACATTTTGCCATGAAATAAATTTACATATAACAGAAACAACAGAAAGTAAATTGTTATTTACGATAATAGGTTACCATGATCGATAAGATGTTATAAAAATAATTTATGTATTTGGTAAACAAATTTAATGAATAGTCTTTAGAAATCGGTAATGTTATCTAAACATGTGAATTGATCACCAAAATGGTAGTTGTATTGTAGCAATGAAAATACATTACCTAAATAGATAAAAGTTTCAAGTTAGTTATTGAATTAGGTTGGTATCCAATGGAACTAAAAGATGTAAAACAACCTAAAATTAGTAATCGTGTTATACATGGCAAGTATTTTCCTTGTGGTGCAGAAAATGATAGTTGTTTCATTAATTCATCTAATTGTCCACATCAGTTTTATCTCTTTCTTCTCATTCTATTCTAAAACCAAGAATATGATCATATATTTCTATCCCGCATGATCGACCACCATCAGATTGTATATACTTCTTTTTTAAATCAATAGGTTTGATATTTCTTCTGAAGATAATTCAAAAAATATTCTTTTATTATGTTATTATTACAAGACCCATATAAAAAAATACAGGGTTCAAATTCTTTTCACCCATTCTTTAGATACGTATAAACATAAATTACTGTATAACTCCGTAAACATGATATACTCTACCTATCAACATCTAGAATCTAAACATATCTCTCTTCATTGTCTCCAACCAAACCCAAAAAATCAAGACCTCAGCCCTACAAACAAAATACAGGCGATGCCATGGAGATGGATGGAGATTGGCGATAGCGTTGTACCATTTTCTTGGTGGAGATCTCAAGTTGTTTAATATCATCTATGTATATTTGTCTACTCCTGCACTCTTCGCTACAGAAACTTTGATCCCCTCTGCATATAGATTGATTTAAGATAATTATACACATGATTATTGGAATAAATTAAAGGATGGTATTAATTAGCGAAGTATTAAATGATTACCTGTACATATAAACGTCTTTATTAAAGGAAATATGTTTGTGGCAAAGAAAGCAAGATTTGATGAAACCGGAACCAGAAGAAGGAATTTGATTCCTTTGGAAAATGGGTTTGGAATGATTGAGTTGAGGGGTGTTAGTAGTAAGAATCTTCAACCCAACAGCTTTTGACTCCATGGAAGCTATCTTGGTGGTCTCATGAGTCTCATCCACTTTGAATATTGAACCCACGGCCATGGAGATCATTCTATTTCAATTTTCTCTTCTGGTTTGTTTAGTTCAGAGGAGAGATATGAGTGGATCGATGGAGGATATTTAAAGAGACACACAACAGTGAGTTTTAATTTGCCTCAATTTAACCATTATAAAAATCATATCAAAAGAGGGAGAGCATGTTTACCATATGTTTCCTTTCTTTTTGTCGTTAAATGCATCTCACTTCCCTGCCTTAATTTCCTCAAACAGTGTTTTGGCAGTCTTTGCCGTCTTTAACCTTGTTAGAGAAACCTTGTTACTTTTTCGGAAAGAGAGTATATGGAGTTGAGAATGTTTTTTTATTGATAATAATTTACATTTTTATTTGTTGGTAATAATTATATAAATTTACTTAATTTAGTAATAGTTACATGGTAGTTAATTTCACAAATGAATCGTATAAACGTTTGTTGAATAACATTTTATCAGGAAAAACTTGTTAAAAAAGTGATCGTATTATATTAATTTATGATCCTTAAAAACTCCAATATAGTAATATTATTGGGTGTAAAACTTTCGGACATTAATGATATTTGGAAAGGCGTTGGGATTGATGCATGTGTGTGTGGGGACTGTAGGTTTGGTTGACAAAAACTCGGCGTGGGCCTTTTTATATTCGTCTCCATGGACATATAATATGTTTACACAATCAAAACGTGCAAGTCGTGAGTGACATATAAATATATTTTTAAATCATCATTTTATTAATAAAAAGAGTATGATATATGATTAAAATTGTAAAGTTAAGTTTACCATTGTTCAACAACTTTGCATATAATAAACACAAGTGCCAACTCAACCATAGATTCAACTCCTATTACATATATATGTAAATCATTATATATATATATATATATA